TTTTCATCCAGTGTGGCAATGACCCTTCTCCGGATGGTGAGATCTGGCTACTACCTACGTCGGCTTACGGGGCCTTTCCCTCCAGGAATTTGTTTATCAAGGCACCGCCCCCTTACCAGTACGGCGGGCAGCGGGCTGCCTACGTGCTCCGGTGAACAAAATATTTTTTAAATGTTATTTATTTGTGTTCCACTTTGAAATTGGCCAGATTTGTACATTTGTGTAGAAACACATGTACAAATGTGTACAAACATGTACACATGTTTAAATGCATTTAAAAAATAATTTAAGAGTAGGCCAAAGCTGAAAAATTGCATTTAAAAAATTAAAATATATTCTAAATATTTAAATAATTAACATGCAAAAATTATATTTATATCCCATGAAAGGACATCTTTTTAAGTCTAATGTAGGTGTTTGAAGTTTTCTGAAGGAAACCGTATTTGCACAAAATTCTTCTGAAAAAGTAATTGGTAATAGTTCTGGAAGGGCTGGGGTTAGAAAAAGTCACTTATTTTCAACCCTAGACCTCAAAAAAAAAAATTCAAGTCGCTAAAAATTGTGATAATTTATGAGTGTGCGATTTATCGTGGAATGACTCAAAGGTGTGACTAAATTGTGTTATTTGAGACCTGAAGGTGTAAGAAGATATGTCTAAGAATCCCTATTACTACCCTATAAGCATCACGTGTTAGTTTTCGTAATTAATAGATTATATAAGTATTTTCTTAGAATTTTCTTCACTGTTGTGTGTAATTCCAGTCAACACAGTGACTTCAGTGTAGACGAATCAATTGTAATGTTTTCAATGATGTTTGACAATTATTTTAATCCTGACAGGAGTCTAGACAATCCGTCTTCAGAAAAAAATTGAATATTACCTATGTTAATTCTTTTAAAAAAAAAGTTTTTGAGAGTTTACACAACAAATGTTCAAATTCCTATCGACTTTATTTTTATGGCAATAATTTCTTTAAAGAGGCTGATGTTTCATGATACCTCAATTTTCGGATTTGTTCCATATTTCCCTAAATCAACTAAATAGATATTTACCTTAAAATTCGAAGACTACTCTCTTCCCTTCAGTGTGTAGTTGAATCATGTGCCTGGGCATCACCTTGTTTACGAATGAAATGTCGTATGCGTCGCATATACAAGTTAACTAGTGCACTTTGATCGACTGAAGTAGCCTGTTGAAATGGCGCCGTTGTATGTGGGTCTCAGCGGTTATGAAACCACACAGGAAATCTAAAGGAAATAAATGATACAAAAAATAGTGTTTTTAATTTCCCGAATAAGTACATAGGAAAAGGAAAATTATGTAATGCTGCGGAAAATCGATTTCGAGATTTCAACGGAAATACACGTTTTGGGGTCCCCTGATACCAAACAAGTGTTGTTTTTAGAATGTCCCTCTGCGGTCTGGACATTTTCAAAATTTTCTCAAACACGGCTACAATTTTTTTCTTTAAATTTCTTGTAAGATAATAGTAGCATACACTTATAAAGGTGGCACAGGTCCGATTTTCACGGTTCACTCTAAATTTTCCAAAACTTCAGGGGTAATTTTTTCTTTCAGTGTCTTTCTACAACTACAAAGTTGAAGATAGAGATTTTTCCTTCAAATAAAATTGTTCTCCATTGTTAGTTTTTTCACTTAAGGTCATGTACATTAAAAAATAGTAGTTTCATACAATATTGCACGCAATATGTGCAATTTGCAAAAATTACAAAAAGATTTCCTCAAAAAATGCTGCACATTTTTTCTTTAAACTTTTGGTAGCGGTTATGTTTTGGTAGCGGTACTCTATAAGCTGTCATAAAAGACATATTGCTCTATTCATTTATTTTTTCAAAAATAAAAATGTAATTTTTTGGACTTGCCTCTCATGACGATAATATTTATATCAGCGGCAATTTGTTCACATTATTGCATTTATAAGTTGATGCTTCAAATAATGACTTACATAGTATCTCGAAAACTCAACCGTTTTCGGTCAAAACTAGCTCAAAATTCCGCATTTTCAGAAACGGCTCCAATTTTGTCTTTAAACATTTCAAACGGAGAGTGTTAATTGCATTCTTTAATTTGCCGTAAAGTTCATTTCTGTCTTTTTTTGTTTTTTCAAAAATAACACAAATGTAAATTTTTTGAAAGATTTCACGCCGTTGAAATGCACATTTCCAGCAACTTGTAAACACTATTGTATTTGTGGGTTAATGTGCTTCAAATGACTTCTAATGAAGCTTTTCGAAAATTCAAAACTTTTCTGTGAAAAAGAGCTTCAAATTTCGAATTTACAGTAGCGCTTAAACACCATTTTCTTAAAAACTGCTCCAAACTGTTCAAAGAAAATTGCCATTTTGGACGAAGTTTTACTGGTCTTTAAGATTCTTAAAATAATATTTTTCCTACTATTACTACCAAGAAACCAAAAAATTAAGAAAATGTACTTTGTGTGGCGATAGATGGCAGCTGGCAAGAGTATCTGGAAAGAGAGGAGAGACCAAAGGAAATAGAAAACGAATATGGGAAAGTATGTGCCATTCTGTTACACCACTAGTTTTAAGGGATTTTAGCGGACCTGTATGAAGTCTCAGTGGATGAGTGAATGCTTCGGGGTACAGCAATAATAGGAATGTGCACAAAGAAGTGTGCGAGAGATTCGGGTTCACTTCTAAAGGGAGAATTGTATATTGCTTATATCAGTTCTCTTGAGGTAGTTTGAGGCACACGTTTCCAGAAACATTTAGAGGTGTTAACAGATCACTGTTGTGAACGTATACTCTGGGGTAGCAAATTCACGGGATAGTAACACGCAAAAATACAGATGGCAATAAGTAAAACGTACAAAAGTTATAAAAGGACAGTGCATTGGCAGAGCTTACATTTTGCTCTCAAGTGATTCATGTGAATAGTTTTCTGACGTGATTGTGACCGCAAGACTCGTACAATAATTTCGTTCAATTCGTTTGTAACTCGTAATTCATACAATTCTTTTTTGTAATCTAAAAGTCTGGTAGCTATAAGATGTATTTCCGAGAATATCATGCCATATCTCAGACGGGAATGAACATTTGCGAAATATACACATAAGCAGGTAGAGGTTGACTGAATTTGAAAGAATTCTGAAAGCTTAGCATAATAAACTTAATTTAGTTATCAATTCATTTAAATAGACGTTTCATATAAAGTTTAACTGAATTGAAAGACCTAAAAATTTGGTACTTTAACATCCGTCAATGGCACACCATTCATTTTCAATGGAGAACGGAAGTGTCATTTACTATCAATTTGTTATTACGGAACCAATTTGAAATATACGATATTGTGCTATTTACGGTTTCCTTATTGCAAAAAATATTCGTAGAATCCGCAAAGAGAACTGTTCTTCCGTTTCTAATCTTCGAGGGCATATCGTTCACGTATAGTAGGAAGAGATTAGGACGTAAATCGACCCCTGCGGGACTCCACAGGCAATTGGAAAAGACGCGAAAAGCTGTGTACATAATGTTACATTGTTCCAGTAAGGTATTTCTATTCTCTGAAATCGTTGTTTAAGGTACAAACATAACAAATCTAGAACAATACCACAAATCCCATACGAAGGTAATTTTGGAAGTAAAATTTTCAATGACGTCAATAGCTTGTGAAAGATCTAAAAATATTTCAATAGGTGCTTCGTATTGATCCATGGATAAGGATCTCTTTAAGAAAAGAAAATATGTCTGTTTCCGTAGATTTTGATTTTTGAAACCCATGTTGGCAATCTGAAAACGCGTCGTGTTTACTAAGAAATGTTTCCATTCGTACGTAAAAAAAGTATATCTAATATTTTTGAAAAACCGACAAATGAGAAATTGGCCGATAATTTTTAATTTCATTTTTTTGAAAAGCGGCTTAATCTTAGCTGTTTTAAAAATATCTGAAAAAATCCTGTGCATAAGGATACATTAAATATGTGCGTTAACGAGTGTACTATAATGGCGGGCGCACAAGTCTTTAACAAACAATCCGAAAATTCATTTAAACCGGCCGAATATTTATTTTTTAGCCTACCAATTATTTTGAGAATGTCATGGGAGGAAGTTTTGGAAACGAACATCGCGTCGAAAATTTTGGGAGGAAACATCTAATGCTGAATTTGTGGCTGAAGATCATTAGTGAGATCGGCAGCAATTCTCGAAAAGTATTGGTTAAAGAGACAAGTCGATGTTACCGGATCGTTCACATTTCTATCGTTATCTTTTAAAACAACATTCTATACAAGATTTCTAGTTAATTTGGTCAAATTTTTAACTATATTCCTTGGTCAGATAAGTCCCAATTTCAATTGGGCTTGTAGTTAGGGTTTGAGTATGGCAAAGACCTGCGAAGCCATGGACGTTGTCGACATGACACTGTGCAAGTTGATGGTGGCTCTATAATGATGTGGACTGTTTTTACATAGAATGGACTCGGTCCACTGGTCACATCGAATCGATCTTTTACTACCAATGATTATGTTCAAATATTTGGAGACTATTTGCAGTCTTTCATGGATTTAAAGTTCCCTAAACAATAATAGAATTTTTGTAGATTACAGTGAGCCATGTCATGAAGCTACAATTGTTCGCGACTGGTTTGAAGAACATTCTGGTTAATTCGAGCGAAAGATTTGGCCACGCCGATTGTCCCATTGTCCCAAGGAGGTCCGACACGATATTGGAAGGTATCCCATGACTTATTCGCCTCAGTGTATATTGCATACATTGAATTTTGTGGGGGTGTAGCTCTAATATTTCATGTTCGCTGTACTTCTAATCGGCGTCATGCCACTGAAGAGGCGAGCTCAGCTAAGCACGCATAATTATAGGGGCTTGCATATTTGCTAGATGCGAACGTATTAAAGGCACATCATTTTATTTCTATTTTGTAAAATAGAGAAACACATTTCTGAAAAAAATATCAACTTTCGTACCCGAAATTTCGGGAGGTGGTATTTACGTCTTTAGAAATTTACCTTTAAAATTGTTGATGTAGAGGGAATGAAATAACAATTCAGTCACTCAAAATTCATAAGGAAATTGTATTGTAATATTTGGTTTGGAGTCTCATTAATGTGTATGAAGCATGAATTACCGTTTTACGCAACATGATTCATAATCAAATATATTAAGAATTTTGCAAAACCATCTACGATTACAAATGATTTGCTCCAACGGTTTATTATTACTATGGCAATGAATTATATATATTTGAAAAATCAGTCAAGATAAAGAAATTCAATGTTTTGAGAGACCGTGAAATTTTCTTCCTCGGCGATTCTGGGCAGCCTGAAGCACTTTGTAAGGACAAGTGGACTAACAATACTCAGAACCCTTGGAATAATGCAAAGAAAATTTAAGTCAATTTTTAAAATTTGTTTCATTTATTTCCTTTCAAACTCATTGTCAGTGATCTGATGAGGATTTTCTTGATTGTTAATCAGCTGTAGCCACTACTTGTGAGGATATTCATAAAGATAATTGCTATATCAAATTCATTGTAGAAGCGTTATAAGTATTCGTTCAATAGAAATGCCCTGTTGCTCAGTACATAAAATATCTTAGCAAAGAGTATATACTAATACAATTATTTTTCAATTTTTCAATATTAATCTTTTGAATTTGAAAGTAAATATTGCAACAACAGTCATTTAGAATATGTCAATAAACTTCTTATGCACATGAAGTCAATAACAGTTACAAAATTCATCTCTTAAATTCTCGTAAATATTAACACTTGCTTTGCCTAAAAAGTAATTAAAATATAACTTTAAATTCACAATATTTAATTGCAAAAACTTATAACGCTATTTTTGTAAAAAAGAAATTTGTTTGCACAACATTCTTATCAATTAATTTCTTCTGTACATTCAATATCCATAAACAACAACAGCAAATAAAATGCACAAAAGGTAACCATGAATGTCTATCACATATAAACGTTCATATCAATTCAAATTGTAGTATATGTTTATGCTCGTGACAAGCGGAGAAGTCATATAATTAACAGTTGATGAATACTTCATCATTGTGGTGTGGTATTGCCCAAATCCGGTGTCTCATCAATTTTGTAGCCATATGTTTCCAGTTCTGTAACATTAAAAAGACAAGTGTAGCTCACAATTACGAGCTAAGCTGTCAGCAAATTTCTTAACCTGAACTCTTCCGACAAATTTAGAAAGGTGATTCCTGAGTAAATATCCACCAGGAATGAACGGTGATTTCAGAAAATATTTCAGGGGGGAGGGTAATTTCAGATAGACCTCCCGTAAGTATTTTTGAAATAATCTTTTTAAATGTTAGCATGGAATTAAAAAGTATAGGAGTTTAAGAATTCTGCCTTGAATGTGAGGTATGGATATAAGGAAATTATTTTGAATAAATTGAGTAAAATCAATATAAATGTTAACTTTTGGGGGAGCTATGGTGTCCATGCATATCACCCATTGGCGGCAAAAATGAAATAACTCAAATTAGTCATGACAATGTATTTACTTAGGTACTTAATTATCTCACACTATGAATTTTCGGAGAAATGGCTCAATGAACGAAGTTCCAAAGCCAGAAACTCAATAGGGTTGCCTAAACGTTTCAGTTTTAGACTGGACGTGGAAACTTACACCGTGGAAACAACGTAATGAAAAATGGCAGCAGATAATTTTTCATTTTATTAACTTTAAAATATTAAAATTTAGTGTTAACACTTCAAACCAGGGTAATAATAATAAGCGAAACGATAACACATCTCAGGTCCATTATTTTTATTTAAAGTAAAAATCAGAAAATTTGGTTGATTTTAAAGTACAAAATTCTGTCTTTTAAAAATATAGAAAAAGAAGGTGATTATAATAATGTGGATGAAATTCAAGGTAAAGATGAACATGAAGATACGGTGAGGCAAGTAAGCAGCACGAATATTTTACAAGGCAGATGAATGAGAGGCAGAGGAAACGCGAAAAAACGGAACCTGGCAGGAACCACAACAAAATCCACTTAAATATTGTGACTTAGGAGTAAGAAAAATTGGATTTTTAAAGATCTTCTTTCCGGTGTATTGGCATAATCTTTCTTCAAATTGAAAGCAGGTGAGTTGAATGATGTGTGATGAATTACAAAGATAGTGAGCTCAAATTAATATTGAGTAAATATTAAATACGACAATGATAACAATGGGGTAAAAGACCCATAAAAATACGTCGTATGCAATAAATATAAACAAGACGGAATACAGCAGAATCCGTAGTCGGGAAAATATAGGGAGTGGAATAGGTAACGTAAAACAAAGACACATGAGCAACTTCCATGTAAACAGTGATAAACGTGAGAAAATTAATAATTGCCAAGTAGTTCAAAGAATAAATAGTTACGAAGTAAAAGCAAGTGTAACCAATGAGAGCGGAGATGACATCGAGAGAGCGATCAAGATGCGCGTACAGAGCCAGGAAGAAAGTGTTTAAAAAGAATTTCGCGCAGTAAAAGACAAGACACGAACGCGCGAAACTCGAAAAAAAAGAGAGCGCGGGCAGGCTTGCTGGTGGAAGGGCGTGCAGATGGAACGTTCGCGACGGAAAGGTGTTTTTAGTATGGAAATGTAGTGAAATGTCGAATAACCTTGCAGCATTTGCCTCTCGAAGAAAAGTAACAATGATGGGACATTTTTAGCAGAAAATAATATTGGAAATTCAAAGTGTGTTTTTAGTTTTTAATGTAAATAACTTTGTAATTGGGGAAATAATTTGGCCAAAGCCTGCAAAGAAAGGGGAGGGTTTACATAATAGAATATAAACATTTTTGTTTATATTTACATTAATTCTGAAAATGCATTTTATTCAATTTTTGCTATTGTGATGAAAAAGCAAACAGGAGAAGGTTATGTATGAATGTATGTATGTATTTACAGCACTACATAAACGTTGTATTTGATCGGCATATTGCAAGTATATTTACTTCAGAGGACGACCTAGAGAATTCCGAAGTCCTTGTTAGAGTAAGTAAACCGGTGTACGTATGTTCGTAAATATGAAGTCCGAGAGCCCGTCCTGCCGCCTGCCCTGCCGACTGCCCTGCCGCCTGCCCTGCCGACTGCCTTGCCGACTGCCCTGCCGAAAGCCCTGCCGACTGCCCTGCCGACTGCCCTGCCGACTGCCCTGCCGACTACCCTGCCGACTGCCCTGCCGACTGCCCTGTCGACTGCTCTGCCGAATGTCTTGCCAACTGTCTAGCCAACTGTCCGTCTATCCGTCGAATTACAAAACTAGCGCCTAAATTATTCGAAAATTATTTTTCATTTTTAAATGACACAAACATATGTTTTTAAATATCTCTCACGCCGTTAATATTTACATTATCATTGATTTGTATACAGTGTTGCATTTGTGAATAGAAGTGTTTCAAGTGATTTCCATTAAAGTTTCTTGTAAACTGAAAAGTACGAGAAAGTCTGTGCCATTCTTCATCACCACTAGTTTGAGTTAACGTCCTGTGTATGTGAAAGGTGCCAAAGGTTATAGAGGATTTACGTTCGCAGTTGCGTAGTCCCCGATACTACTGCATAGGATTGGAAACCCCACATTGAATCCTCTTTTCTGATAAAATAACAATACTTTTCTGGTGCATGTTCGAAGGTCCATTTGTGCCTTGTTTCCTCTTAGGGTTCACCTCACTTAGTTTGTCAGTAGCGATCAAGTTCATCCTTTATTCAAAATGTCAACACGTGTACAGAACATTAGATTTCGTATCATTTATAATATTAAACAGCAACAAACCAAGAAACAGTCTTACCAACAAATTCGTCTTCTTTGGCTAAAAGAGCCAGTCTCCATTTTTTGTTATCAAAACTTGGTTGCTGGCCACCGTATTCTGCGGGAAGAATTTCAGGCTTGATGAAGGCATGAAGGGAGGTTATATCACGCCCATGAAGGTATATCTGAAATGTCGACAAAATTTATAGTGAAAACCTATCAAATATTAAAAGGCTTATTAACCTAATTGACTGGCTTAACAGCATTATTTGCATGTCCACATGGACGCCCCACACGATTATGACGATGCTTCCAATATGTAGAGAAAGTTAGCTTCAGAATTTTGTTTTCACATTTTTCGGCTAGTTTCTGGGCTAAACATGTTTTTAGAACAATATATGAATTTTGAATTTTCTTTATATTTTAGGAAACTCAATAATGATTTGGGAGTGATAACGGCGGAGTGATAATCCTGTGGCAGAGGAATGCCGCAACCTACCGGGGTGTTTCACACACTACATTCACGAAATTAATCACCTAGTAGTTTACACACCCGGAATCAAAACTCACTTTTACTTTTGGGGGGGCAATAGTCACTACGGCTCAAGGTCCTCGGGCTTTTGGTCGTCCGAGATCATTTGAACAAGTTAACACCCGTTGTTCATAAATGATTTTATTTTTTATGTAATTTTAATGATTCTGTTTGAGGTATTTACTAATTAACTAGTTGTTAACATGACAGAGTTTGCCTCTTCATATTTCCCTCCCATAATTCCCTTTCATAATTCCCTCTCATAATTCTCTTCTTAAGGAAACATTCAGCACCAATCAACTTTTTTCTTATCTACCTAGTAACCACGATCTACATAAGTTATGCTGAGTATATCGAACTCCCTATCGAATGCAATAATAAGCAATAACGTACGAGTACAAAATAAATAATATTTATAATGTAAAGGAGATTTGAAGTACAGTACATATCTTCTAAACACGTTATCAGAATTTGTTTCGGAATTTTAGTTTCGTAATGACATTAATATTGGGGACATAATATTTCATGATTTTTTGATTCTGATTTCTTATTTTGAGCTTAATATAATATAAAGATAGTTTTCTAAATAAGAATAAATATATTTGCACACTGATAATAATACACATCTGTGAAAAATAACTATCTGCTTACCCTCCGTCTTATTTTATCCTTCAGGAAAGGCTTCAATACGGCAAAAACCGCATCAAAGTAGAAGGGCTGGTTGATGACGTGAAAGCCTTTGAACCGGAGGGGAAATGTTTCCTGCAACAAATACATTGCAAGTTCTGAGATTCACTTAGTTTCAAGACCAATCTTCTCAATGTTCAGGTAACCTTTCTTTTTGCTCTTTCTATTCTTGTATCCTATACTCGATATTTAAAGATCTTTCTAGACTCATTTTCTGTATAACATAGATGACCGACTCAGAAAAGAAAAGTAAAGTCACCCGTGCACGCGACAGCCATATGATTAGGAAAGGCAAGCAGCATTACGGAACGTAATTTGTCAGCTGTTTTGGTAGTAGGAAAGCGATAAGTCTGCTCCTGTTGTGCGACTGTAAATACACAAATCGTTGTATAAGTGCTTTACTTGGAAGTGCCAGCTTCCTGCTGTACGTATGGTTGCACGAATAGGTTAAAAACAGGAAGAAACACGTTAGGTAAGTAATTACGAAAAAAAAGTAGTGTTCGTGGATTGTAAAATTGAATTGTACGTTCATGTTTAGTATCTCTTTAAATTACAATAAAGTGATGATTTTCTGCTTCATTTTAATATGTAATACATTTTCAGATTTCCATTTTACGAGAGTGAAAACTGAAGCAATGGGTCCAGGCTTTGTAACGCAGAGGATTCTCGCCCATCAATGCGAGCGAACTGTGCACCGAGGATTTCTTGGCCACGGACATTTTGGATCATCCAGGCTCATCAAACGTTAGACGCCAAAAGCAGTACCTACTATATTACTAGGATTTCCAGCGTATTACCAGTGTAAACCAAAAGTGCTCTAGCATTTACTCTACGAGTATTTGAAGAACACGGGAAGGTTAATGTCATCTTCAGATAATGTATTATGTAGTTGTAAATGAATGTGAAATCATTTGATTATTCGTACTAATTATTTTACAAATGTAAACAAGAAAAATTGTAGGGAAAATAATTTATAATATGAAACAATCTGCTTTGGATAGTTCAGTTTTCAAGCATCTTATCTGCAGCAATGGATTTGGTGAAAATGTGATCAAGGTCGAGCTAATTATTCATATTACACAGAAATGTGATATATTTTTGCAGTGTTATTGCAATTAGACTGGAAGATCGTGCAAAACATATACAGTCTACTACAACTGTAAGCTGTAGACAGAAACTGACAAAACTTTTCAAGAAGGAATAAAGTATTTTTCATATATCATTTTGTTACTTTTGTTCTTACCTTTAGGTAATTTGTACGACATTTGTTCAAATTTGAAAGAATATAAGGAGTGTCAGCACATTTATGTATAGGTGTAATTCTTACGAGACATTTGCGTACGTTGTACTATATTTAACGATTGTGAATACGCTGTTTGACAAATCTGTGAGGAAAGTTAATATTAATTTTTTTTTAAATACTACTAAAAATGACTTTGAAAATTATAATTTATAATGTAAGAAATAATTGTTTTTATGTTGTATCTCCTTCTCTGCCGCAGTTTTGTGCCTTTCTCAATCAAGGCAAACGCGGGCACCAGTGGTTTCACTCGCACCTCAGCAGCGCGTCGGGAAGTATCCGGTTAGCATATGTACATGCATATAAAAACACATTTTTCTCCAGGAAGGAGGCTACTTTACTTTTGTACTTCGTTACTTATGTACTATAGAGCAAGTTATATAATTCTGTAGAAAATCGATTTCTTCGAGGTTTTAATGGAAATGCTCGTTGTGGGGTATCCTGAATCCAAAAAAGTATTTTTTATAACGTCAACTAACTCGAGAAACTAAAATTGTAGGATAACAGCTACAAAGAATTAATACTTGTAAGATTCTTGTAAAGTTATTTAAACAAACACACGAGTGGAGTAAACATATCACTTCTTTAAACACTGCGTGCAAATCTCAGTTACACATTATCAAAATGTTAGCTTGTAAAATATGGGGAGCTGAATATTGATTGTTTATTTAAAATCTATCTTGCTTCGATTCAATTCAGACTTGACTGCGGAGCAGTTGTAAACGGCGCGACACCCGTACAATTTATGTGAGTATTGAACCCAATTAAGAACCTGATGATAACTTTAAGTATTCGAGGTGTTTTGAACAATTTAACTCACAGTTCAACCATTCAACCATTTAACTCACATTCAACCAAAACCAACATTGCGTCTTCGCTATCTCATATTATTCGTTACTTCGTATTTATAATAAGCTTATTAAATATTTGTTTATCAAAAAAGTTTGTAGTTATAATTCAAACTCGAAAACACTTGTTCGAATCGTCAAAGCCATCATGATCTAGTCGAAAATACATTTGAAGTAAATTTCTTTCTATTCTTGAGTACATAGTGCTATGGTTGAAAAAAAATTTACCTGAATAACTTCGACGGTGCGGCGTGCGTAGTACGGGGACAGGAACTTTGCGTGCTGTAGCCCGAATCCATTCATATCCACAATAACTGTGAGACCGGCAATTTGCGTCTCTGGTTCTTGGACCACGTGCTCCAAAGCCAAAACATTTGTGCGAAATATATCTTCTATTGACACTGCAGTAGCATCACATTTCTCTGTAAAGTGATAAACCTTTGTTAAAACACGTACATTGTTATGCATGTTTTTAAATGTATTTATTTATTTAATGTAAACAATACAAACTCTGTGTTTAATGTATTATAGAGAGAAGGATATTCTGTGCACATTTTTTAAAATTCTGGGATCCCAACCCCAACTCATATACAAGTTGATTTTTTGAATACATATGGAAATGACGTTTTTGGCAAGAATCGATAAGAAAATATTCGCTCCGGTGTAATAAAAGCCTTTTTAACAAAACGTTTCATAATATACTTACGTTATTTTCTAAATAAGTAAATTAATTAATGAAACTGGTTTAAGTCAGAAAATTATAAACGAAAGAGATATGTCGTGTGACTTAGCATCACACGACAATTTTGTTATTATATTCAACAAACAAGTATCAACATCAAACTATTTATCTTTTAGAACTAGCGTTTTGTGTTTTGAAATTAAGGAAATATAAAATAGAAATATTTGAAAAGTCTTCAATTCTTCATGCTTTGAGATAATTGAGTGCAAAACAGATATATTTACCAATTAACTCACCTACACGAAAGATGTAGACCCGCCGTCCGAAACTGTCTCGTTCATCTAGCATGTTTTGTACTTGCATTTCCAAAATGTGAGATTTCTCTGAAGGACGTGGCACTCTGAAGAGTTCAGGGCAACGGAGTTTCATGACGTAGTATCTTTGAAGCTGAAAGTTACAAAGAGATTACATGAAATTGTATCATAGAGCCATGGAATACACAGTGCAATGGAAGAGTAAAAAGTTTGTGACTCCTCTAAACTATGAAAAATAAATAAAATTTCCAGCCAGATAGATTTAGTTATAGAGACAGATATAGAGAATAAGAAAGAAATAGTGAGAAAGAAAAAAGGGAGAGAGAGAAAAGAGAGAAGTGATAAAAAGAGAGAAGTGATAAAAAGGGAGAAGCGAGAGGACAGAGGGAGGGTGGGAGGGAAAGGTGTGTGTGTGTGTGTGTGTGTGTGTGTGTGTGTGTGTGTGTGTTGCGTAGGAATCTGTAATATTTTAGAATTACATTTTATGGATAGGAGAGAAAAGTGGACGGGAATCGGTGTGATTCGTTCATTACGTACCTGTTCATTTGGAATGTACCAGAGAGCTTTTGTGATAGTGTGTAGGAAATTATTTTGGAAAATTGGTATTTTGTTGATATTTGTTTTGTACCTAAAACTGGAGAAGCTACGAAAGTATAGGACGGAACATGGGTTTGTAGAAATGAGCAATATGTAGTTGTTGGACGAATGATTTTTTTTAAATATAGCATATAATTAATGGAATCTACTAGTGGCTAGTGCTATTCGGTGTTGTATATTTTTCCGCCACGTAAATCTTTAAACAAACAGAAATCAAAAGAATTTGACATATTTTTTGGAAGGGAGTCAGGAGATGTTTCGTGATCGATATGTGAGATTTGGAGGGATGTCTAGTCTACATAGGGTAAATATGCTTTTCTGGCTTTTATTTGGATTTATTTCTATGTGCCATTTTTTGGCCCGTTGATATGAATGTAAGGTGATGTTGCAGATCTTTCATTTGCATTTTCAATATATCTGTAGGTAGAAAAAAGTGCGGTATCATCAGCAAACAGAGTTATGGCAGTGTTGTTGGTATAGTATCAGATGTATAATTATTAACCATTGTGGGAGAGAAGGTGGAGGAGGTACTCCTGCTGTGATGGTGAAAGGTGCGGAGGGAGCTCAGGGGAGACGAAAATATCAATAGTAAAAACCTTTCTAAGATACTTGAGATATAAAGTGGAGTACCGACGCTCGGAGTTTAAAAATTAACCCTGGGTGCCAGATGATATCAAAAGCTTTAGCTATATTGAGAAGTCTGCTGCGATGTGCTTGTGGTCATGGAAACCTACGATATCTTCAGTTAGTAGTATTAGCACGTAGTACTTTATGATACGTAGACATGAGGGGTGAAATTCCAATTGATGCGGTGGTATAGCTTTCACTGATCTGAGGTAAGAATTTAGCCTATATAGCCTCTTTTTCAAATAGCTTTTCCACGGAGGAAGCAAACTAATCGGGCGATAGCTAGTTGAATCATTTCGTCCTTTCCCTAGCCTGAGAATGGGAAGACTGTGGACGTGTTTCCATTGATCAGGGAAGTACGTATGTCCCAAAGAGGCATTCAATATTGCTGCAATGTGCACGATTCCTTTCAGGGAAAGAGGTTTTAATATTAAAATCATATTAGATTACGGATATTTGATAAATTAGGGGTTGCTAGAGGAAGATGTTGGACAATTTCGTATGATGAAATAAATTTAGAGCATACAGAAAGTTATTTCTCGTCGGACAATTACAATTACTCGTACAACACCAAAATCTAGAATATCTGCTAGCATTGCCGCACGGTATGTGTTAGCACTGATCTTTGTTTACAATCCTTTCATTTCCGACAATTCATTTCTAAGGCCTATTTTAAGTTTTAATGACGAAAAAATGTCCTAGAATTTTAAACATAACGCCAGAAATCAACGTGAAGTAGCAAATGTTTGCGCATGTTATTGAGAAAGATAAAATCTCTTTTACTTTTAATTTTATAAATGAATAAGATATAAACGAAGATAAAAATGGTGTATTTTGAATGAAGTTTTAATTAAGAATAATTTCATCAGCGTTGTGTATTTTGTTGGCAATTGATCAAATCAAAAGTTCCGTATTTGGTGGCACATCAAAGAAGCGCCTGCGGTGTACGGAGCATGCTTCTCAGAACACCGAGGTGTAATGCGGGTTGCCCAGTAGTAGTAATTTCGTTAATGAAATACAGTACGGAAAATGAAAATTGAACCGCTCTCCAAAAACAAGATATGGGAAGTGTATTACAAATAATAATGTACATTTTTCTTCGCCGTAAATATCACGTCGATCCCTAAAGCAGATATTTCCGACATCCTCATGAATAAGAATTCTGGTACTTCAACATGTCAGATACCACGACATTCTGCACGAGGACATATTTTATTTAGATTTTTTAATATGACTTAGATGTGTAACTACGCAAACACATTAAGGAAAAATAATGCCACGGATAATATAACAATATATCAAAGACAGTGATCAACACATCAAAATACTTCTACTAAGGTTTCATGAAAATCTTAATGCCATTGGCCAAATAACATCTGAAGTCTATCGTGAGGCACTGAAGAAAAATGCTACTGTCTGAAACAATCTGATGTGGTTCTTCTGTATTTAAAATCGTGTGTTTTTCTTTGAAGACTTGAATTTGCGTTGAGATTATCTAGCACCGAACTGTTGGGCCTGGGAAAACGACTGTCGCCAAAAAGAGACAAGTTTCTGCTCGAGAGCAGGAAATACTTTATGGACACGATAATATGATTTTTTGAAAGTAAGAAATATTAAAGTAGTTGTTTTCAGAGCAGAATAAAATACAACTCAAAAGTAATCATAAAGCTGACTGTAATGACGATTCACCCATGTATGCTTACGGTATTTTATATCAAGGATTGTAAAAGCAGGGCGAGGTGTTGTAATCGTACGCAGGACCCCAATCCAATGAACTTAGGCAAATAAACATTTTTGTCTAGAAAAATAATGTTTTTAGTAAATAACTCGATAGAAGAAGAAACAAGTGACAACGTGAACGCGGAACCGAATTTATATTCTCGTTGAATAATTGGGGAATTATCGAATTAGAAAATAAGCATTAGTAAAATAAACATTTTTAAGAATCCTCCGGAAGCAATTCGAAACGGGGGTACAACAATATAAATAAGAAGAGACACTTAAAGAGACAGAAAGATACTGTAACAACCCCCTTCTTTTATTTATCTTTTACTTAGTTCTTGCTTCAAAGTTGAGAGCACAATATTTGTGACCTGGGGGTGGTTGAACCTCAGGGTGACCCAACACATTTGTTCTTCATTAGCAGCTCCACAGCGTCGCCCTGGTACTGAAATGAGGACAGGACGCATGCGAGACTGATTTTAAACATGCACAAATGCATTGACGAGCAACGTGGTTAGTTTATAACAGATCGGTTTAATTTGGTAATTAGTCAGTGAAGCCATCAATTTAAACAAGAACGTAACCCTACTTTAAAACTACCTTATTCTAGCTATCACTCTCAACAGGTCATTTGCGGCGGCAATGGTGTAACGGTTAGCGTATCGGACTGTTATACCCACCTTCGCCGGTTCAAACTCGATCGATTTCGTGGACTTTTAAGGGTGAAAAAATCCTTCGTACGCATTCCTTCGGAGGGGAAGTAAAGTCGGCTGTCCCATATTAGTATATTTACTGCATGTAAAAGATCAAGCATGTATGAAACCTCTGAGCTAAATTCAAACCGCAGGTTTCGTAGCTCGAGTGATACCTCCTTTCTCCGCTTCTGGGTTAAAGTATCGTAGCGAAATTTGCGTGGTCAGTCAGAAGAGTAGGCCCCATGGCCCGAGTCTCACCACGTAAAATAAGGCATCAAATTAATTATACCAGCATCCATCAGCTCCCGTTCAGGGCTTTATCCGGGGAGTGAAGATCAGCGGGGCGATGAATGGTTGCTTGGGTGGCGACGGTGGGGGTGCGGTTGGGTGGAACTCCAACGCTCCGCGGCCGGGCGAGCGGGCCTGGCCGATGACCCCGGGCGTGTGACCGGGTAACACGTTCCCTTCGGCAGCAATAGGCCCGGCCGATTGAATTGAATTGCCTTATTTTACATAGTGAGACTCAGGCCATGAAGCCTGCTCTTCCGTCTGACCACGCAAATTTCGCTACGCTCCTCTCACCAACTAGCAGAGAAATAATGTATTTCTTGGGTGAGAAATAGGCGATTTCAATTTAGCTCAGAGGCGTCATTTAGGATTGAGGATCTTTTACATGCTCGTAAATCTACTAACATGGGCCAGCCGACATTACTTCCCCTCCGAAGGAAGGCGTACGAAGGATTTTTTCGCCCTTAAAAATCCACGGCTTCGATCGGGTTCTCGCCAACCTGGGTACAATAATCCGATACGCTAACTGTTACACCGTCGCCGCTCGCCGATGGCAGCGGGGTCGTGAGCGGCCCCGGAGGAAGCGCGCCGCCGTCGCGACGTGGGAAGGGGCCCTAAGGGTGCCTTCCCACGTCGCCACGGCGCCGCGCTTCCTTCAAGCAGCAGAGCCCTTCCGACGCCGCCATTGCTGCAGCCACGGCCGCACCGCCGCACGTCGTGGAAGAGGGTGGGTTCTGCACGGGTAGGCTTCGCCGACCCTCCGGCGACGACGAGCAAAGCGACCGCTAGAGGTAAAAGGCAACGACTGGCGGTACAGTGGGAAAGCCACCATTTAAAGCTGTATTCTGCTAGCGGTGGAGCGTACGCCCTTCTCCGCTTCGTGTACCGAGAGTCCGGCGACGCTTGGCGCAGCAGCGCCCGCCTGCTGCACGTGAGGTCTCCATTCAAACCAATGCTCTGCTACGAGCCGCAGCGCTCGGAAGCGCACCGCCGTCGCGACGTGGGAAGGGGCCCTAAGGGCCTCTTGAACTCGCCCAGCCATCGACCTACTGATCATTGACTTTAAGTTAGGGAAATCCCGGGCCACCGTCGAAGCGACACACTACGTTGCACTCATTTTATAAACAAAATGAGTGACAAAGATGGAGATACTGTAACTTTCCATTCGGGGACGCTTAACACACGTCCGGCGATTGGCCGAAATTCTTCTGCAACGTAATAACCTTAACGCCAATGGACAGCCGTTTTATCCAAATCTTGGATTCTTCTCTAACTTTTGGAAGTGAAAGGAGGGGATAACCGAAACGGCGGGTACTTCATGTCAGACCACCGCCCGCTCCAGTACTTTATTTCTTATTAAGCCGCAGGGTACTTGACGTTTTTTAGAACGTTGTGATATGCGATTTGATCTTTACAGTTTGTCAAACTGCCCTTCAGAAGTGTGTGGTAAAGTTTCACCCACATTTGCTTGCGTGATTTGAAAATTTCAATGACACTAACTGCGTTTTAAAAATTACGCTAGGCGGTTTCCGGAACTTCCGTAAAGTTGCGGTGAACATAATGAAAAGTTGACATCGTTACGAAAATGGACTGAATTGTCAGCGCCTGCTGCATCGCATCTGAAAGTGAGAGCTGAGGAAGGTACTTATAGAAGCGATTACGATAAGCTTCGGCGTTGGTCGCGAGCCAGCCCTACGGTTCACGCGCCCCAGAGACGTCGCCACCGCAGCCCGTATTTTCAGGCGATTAGTGAAAGGGCGCAACAGCTGGACGAGGGTGACTGACCTCCACAACAACAAACACTGGTGATATCGCGGAGCCTGGCAATGGCTGCAGTTAGGCCCTTCGGGCAATAATAAAAAATACTCTTTCTCAAACAATTTTTGTGTAATTCAGGCAACGATTCTTAGCTACTCATTGGCTAGAATAATATTCTAATGACAAACCAATTTCCTGTAAGCATAGCCTTAAGATTTTCCTGTGTTAGATTCTAATTAGGATAAGTTTTGTTGGGTAAAACCGAGCTCAGGTAGAAACTCACTTCTTGCCATGCTTGTTTTATTTTGGGTCATTAAACATTAATTTTTACCTCATTCAATAACTTCTTTCATTCATAAACAACGACGTCCATCCATCTCACTCAATTGCCAGTGACCCACTGCATTCTGAGTTATCCGGTAGGTAAGGTAAGACGGCTCTGAAGGTCACGTTATATTACTATTATTATTATTATTATTATTATTATTATTATTATTATTATTATTAATCGCGTATAGGCCACCACTGACCACGCTACACAAGTATCTCTCCGAGGTCCAGTTGTATTCTATCCTGGTGAAATCAACGTGTGGAATTATGGGTATCAGCATTTTGGCTGCATCCCTTGGTTAAGACAAGATTGGATGATATTATTATTATTATTATTATTATTATTATATACTCACCATATGGAATGCTTTAGAACAATTAAACTTTCTTGCTCTCAGAAATCTCAGAAGAAATGCATCATCAGTTCGTACGTGTAGGTTTCTTTCAGCTGTGAACAATTTACGAGCAAAATTACATGAAAATCCAAAAATTTTAATAATACAATATTGTTTTATACGTTTATAAGTAAGAACGTAAATATCTCGTACCTACTACCATATTCCTAAACGTTTCTATGTCATCAGCTACAGAATTTGGCTTCTCATTCAATTCTTCGGCCGCCCTCTGCTTCCACTCTGGCCCTAGGTCGTCCAGCTGCGACCGCGCCGCTTCTTTCTGGGAGGTTGGATCAATTATGCTCTCCATTTGTTTCTCTTTTGTTCCCGAGTTAAGCATTAGATGATTTGCGGTACTGCCTGACAAAGCCAGACCAGAAATTAAATTGTCAGCTGGCATTGTCTCTACAATGGCAAAAAAGTTACAATCGTGTTAGAAAAGAAACAGTTAATGAGTACTTTTCGAGAATTACTTAAAAGATATCTCCACAAAATACAATAGGGCTTTCTAGAATGATTCAGAAAGTTCTATAAATGTTGGCCTATTTTTGCCAATTAACCTTACAAAGTGTTGTTTCATGTCAATGAAAAGTCTGAATTAGCTGAAAAAATTAATTAAAAGTTATTAAGGCCTCTATCTTATACTAGGGGGTGTCTGGCAGACTACGTTTCTAGAAAGAGTTGTCAACTCGTGTTCCATCTGGGATAGCATATTCAGAGTGAGTCATTTCAAATGCAAAAATCACGTCAGCGTGTCCCTCAAACTTAGTATCAAATGCTTCCTTTACCGTTTTGGCCTTAGGAGTATAGATTCACGTCGAAATTATTTTTTGTAATTTTCGAATTTTATCGTTGCCTTCAACAGGAAATTTATTAACAATTCCAAGACTTGAAGGTCTGTTGTAAACTCGATCATTAACGCCATATCTAAACAGGGAGTGCTCTGCATTTCTGTCGACCCGATGGCGAGATCTTGCCCGATTACAAGTTCGGGCGCTTACAAGTCTGACGTAATAAGCATAACAATTTCGAAAGTTCACGCATTCGACTTTTTCGTATTTTGTATAAGTAGATTTTTGTTCGGTAAATTTTAGAAATTCTCTCAGATGTCCCTCACTTGTTTTAAACGCGTTTTCAATGTATAGTAACACGCGTAATGACATAAGCAAACTTTTGTTCGTCTAATTAAGGAGAAAACTTTCTTAAATTTATTGTTTCCTGTTAAGCATACATGCTTTTCAAGTGTTAAAACATGATTTATGTAGTACATACTATGCACCTCACTTTAGAAAATCCGCGGTTAAGTTTTTATTTCTCACGTGTGTGTGTTCAAAAGCTTTTAATTCTTTCCGAACAAAGAAAAGTTATACTTTATTACTTTCCTTATATTTATATTATTTGTAGGTGGTTCGAATTTGTTTCCGGGGGAAGCGTGATCCGATATAACTGTTCATTTCCTATTTTTCTTAAACTAAAAATATGTTAACGAGGGGAAGATGTGACAGCAAAGATTACATTTTTGAATAATTGTATGAAATGCGATGTAGTTGTAGGAATTTCTCATAACCTTATTTGGAATTACTTGCAATTTAATTTCAATTTTGAGGGAGATATTACTAATTAAAGGAGAAGTCGATGGTGCTTATTTTCTCTTAAAGTTACTGAACGCACAAAAAAGAATAGTAAAATAAGTACTAAAATTAGAAATGGCTTCGGTCAGGTGAGTATTCACAAGTCACATTTGTGTTTCATTAATACGCTAAAAAAAAGGGGGGAAAAGAATGGCAGTGTGCTTTTGATGATTGCTACGAGTAAGTTCTACTACGATTAAATACTATCCACAAACATTGTAAAACCATATTAAAATAAATATTAGGAACAAATAAAATTAACTGTATCTCAAATTTTCATTAATGTCTCTCGTGGTTATGTCATTTTAAGACTTTCATATATGACATCAGAGATATGAACATACCAGGTCGTACTGTGCATACCCGTACAGGTGTGTTAAATGTGGAAAAGAACAAGGAACGGGAGATTCAAGCAACGACTGTACCAAATTATGGACTGGGAGTGGACCAATTACCATCAGTGCCATTTACTGCCCTCCAAGATTCCAAAAATAGACAAACACGATTTGAAACCTATTTTAAGTCTCTAGGAAATAGGGACATGGTGGGAGGAGACTACAATGCCAAACACACGCAATGGGGATCCGGGCTCATCACTCCAAGAGGAGAGAACTGCCTGAAAAGCAGTTACCTCACTTCAGCTAGAAACCATTTCTACAGGAGAAACCTACCTACTGCCTACCGATCTAACCAAAACTCCAGATGTAATTGACATAGCGATAACCAAAAAGGAATCCCACCACTAACTGTATCATAGAATCTTCCCACGAAACTGTCCTCAGACCACCACTCCAATAATTACACCGTCGGAACAAAAATTATTCTACAATCCATTCTCCCGCGTCACTAAACGGAACAGAAAGACCAACTGGGAACTTGTATAAAAAACCAGATATCTATTGGAAAACAAAACATCCGATTACCACTAAAATCAGCTGACCACGAGACCGAAGCGACTGAGTAAATAATACAAAATATTCAAAGAAGCAGCTATGGACCGCTACACCGCAACTTCGCTACACCCAAGCGCGTGAAATATCCAAAAGTTCTTTTGAACAAAAAATAGGCAGAGAAAAGAAGACTAAGAAGAATCTGGCATACTTCAAAATATCCTGAAGACCGTACCAACTCACAGAGCACTAGGCAACTAAAACGCCTCCTAAACGAATTCAACAACAACAGGTTTCAAGATTTCATACCAACCGTACCCCAACAGCAAGATACCAATTACTCCTTATTTAAGCCACAGGGAAGCTAAAAAAAACCGACCAAATCAAATGCCCCCAAGCAGGGACGAAACAAGAGTTGGGCAAAGAAACCCACAGAAAAAGCGGTCTACCTTTGCCAAATTCTTTGCTATGTATTCCAGACTCATCCCATTTAAATACTAACCAGATTCAAACAAATCAGTAGAATATCTTAACTCCCCAAACCAAATGACTCTTCCAATCCCGCACTTCCTGCCCAGAGAAATTACCAAAACCATAAACTCCTTATGCAAAACAAAAAATCTCCTGGCCTATGGACTTAATCACAACACCTCTTCTCAAAAGAACTACCACGGAAAAGCAAGACTATAAATACTGCATTTGTTCAAACAGTATTATAAGGAACAGGGCACTACCAGGAGCAATGGAAAGTTAGCCCAATTCAAGTTTTCCTCAAGCCTGGAACCTCCACATGGAACCCTCCTCCTACCGTCCCATCCAGTATACTTCCTATTCTATCGCAAAGTATTTGAGAAACTCTTTCATCAAGAATACGTCCTCACATAGCAACCAATACCTAGTCCCTGACACAATTTGGTTTTAGACAAAAGCATCTACCGTCGAACAAGTTAATAGAATCACCAACTTACATTGAGAATTGCTTCAAGAAAAGAAATACTGTTCAGCCGCATTTCTAGACATGTGCCCAAGCTTTTTGACAAAGTCTGGCACGATGGACTTCTTATCTTAAGTCCAAGAATTTTCTACCGTATCCCTTCGGTCAACATTATCAGATCTTTTCTACCCCACCGCACCTTCCAAATCAAATATCAAAATGAATTAATCTGAATTCCATCCAATTCCAAGGCCGGAGTACCACAAGGTAGTGTACTCGGCCCTATCCTATACCAGCTCTATTACTGCTGATTTACCCAAAATCAATAAAACAACCATAGCCACTTTTGCAGATGATAAAGGCCATACTATCTTCGGATGACGACCTAATGTCGATTTCAAAACATTTACAAGAACATCTCATAATGATTGAAATTGGGCCAAAAAAGTGGAAAAATAAAAATCAACCGAAAATAATCAGTCCATATAAACCTTTACCCTGAGAAAAAACAAATGCCCCTACTGTCACATCAACAACAATCCAAGTACAAGGTTGGAAGGTAAAATACTTGGGAAACATCTAGACAAACGGCTAACATGGAAGCATCACATCTCTAGCCAAAAAAAAGCACCTTCAATTCAAATAAGAAAACTATTACTGGATACTAGGATACCACTCAAAACTATCCTGGAAAATAAACTGTGATATATAAAGCTATCATAATCCCCAATATGGACTACGGCATGCCAAATCTGGGGCACACAAGCAAGAGTAATCTCTCGCATCATCCAGAGATTTCCAATCCAAGACCGTAAGAATGATCGCGGCAGCACCATGGTTCATCACAAAGCAGCACTGCACAAGACGTAAAAATGCCCACTGTCTTTGAAAAAACTAATTTATCAGCGTCCAAACTATCTCCAGCGCCTTTGAAAAACCATCCAAACCATTAGCCCTCAACCATCCTAGACAATAGTGCAGACACCATCGACTAACCAGAACCTCACCCCTACAACTCCCATATAGATTCTCAACAAATAATTGAACATTGTACCCTCAGGGGCTAGCGAAAATCCTATCCCATCGTGTTATGGTGATACCCAAAATATATATGCGTCTGTGTATAGTGTGGAGTATGAAGAAGGTAGATA